AAACTTTGCCACCCACGGCCAGAGCCTTTCATCAAAGATGGTCAAATGTAACTGACTCAAGAGAGGTGTTGACGCGTGCCACAACAATCTACAACATCTGCAAGGCAATCTTCGCCGCAATTTGGTGAGCTTGCTACCAAGTTTCAAGCAAGGTGATGGTCACTCTGTGCGATGAATTTTATTGTGCGACTGGACATGAGTGGAAATTTCCACTGATTTCGCACTAAATATCCACAGTTTAAATTGCTGCGAGCCTATGCTGAATACATTGGCGAATCGGAGATTTGATGTCCTGCTCTCTAATGGATTGAGGAAAATTCCTCAATCTTGAGAGTTATCTCAAGATGCTTCTTGGGAAAATAATTTTGACTTCTGGCTCTGCACCAAACGCCAAATCTGATGTGGATTTGCAGGCTGACCAATGCGTGATTGATTCAGGGCAGATTAGGGTGAGGAATGGTGCCATCACTTTTCAACTTTTTTGCATCATGCAGATGTAGTTTATGTGTTTCTCTGAGACTTGACAACCCAATAGGGATGCGACCTGCTGCGCACAAAAACATCAGTAATTTGGTCATAGATTTGATCACCAAAATTACAGACTTTTGTTACTGATGCGCTGGGTGAGTGTATCAGTTTTTTAATTCAATCGAGAAAGATCATGGGCGGATTTGTGGCGTGGCTATGACGTCGTAGCGTTTTCCGTCAGCAGTACATTGTAGGGCGGGAAAGGGCGCGCGGAGACGTAGGTGTGAGCCAGCATTCCTGTGAATCTTTCAGGTCGCAGCACAGATTCGATTGTGGTGCTGCGCTTGTGCTGTAAACGTGACGAATGAATGAAGTGATGGCCATCTGAGCGTTGCAAGGGAGTTATTTGAGGATTAGAAGAGCATGTTGTGAGGTTTGCGGAAGCATTCTCAAACGTGATACGAATCGTAGAGCATGAGGCATAAGGACAGTGAAATGATGTGAACTGCCGTGTTTGGACACTACCTGATAGAAATGGTATAGCATTTGATTGTGTTGCCCTTTCTGACGTGGCTAGAGTATTTTGAGGGGTGGTTGCCGTGCTTTGCGAGGGCCGCATGCTGCTGTGCTCGGTGTTGGAGGGGCTGAACGGACGTACGATAATCCGTGAAGTTGCAAACACTGGCAACGTTGGCATTCTCCTTGTGTGCAACCCATGCGCACAGGCCGTCGGGCCAGCCCCACTAGATCGGCTTCGCAGCTGAAAGTTTGAAGTCTCCTGCGCTCGAATTTCAGCAGAGCGCACCCATTGCAATTTCGCCGTTCGAGCGCATGGGTTTCCAAGCGATTCTGTGGGAATCGAAGCGGCTTCCCGCGTGCTCCTCACCCGAGGCCCGGATTTCTACGTGATCCTCGATAGGCAAGTACAGGAGGCCCATTTAAGCCGAGTATTCCGCAGTGGAACCGCTGACGATGTGGTCGTGAGGGAGCTTCACGACCCCAGATTCGTCCGCTGTCGAGCCGGAAGGCGGGACAGGCGAAGGCTTGGCGCTTTGTGGATTTTTGCCCGGGTGGCTGCCATGTTAGACAGCCACATTTTGCACCTCAATAAACACACCCTGAATGTTCGCCATAGATGTGATTTTCCCCCTGGTGGCCGACGAACTACCAAAAAACTGGACATCAGACATGTAACATCGATTCTCTGCTTTCGGCATGCAGTCTTTCCCAGGGATGGCGTGTAACGAATTCAACGCAACCCGCTACATGAAAGCTCAGAGAATCACAGATAGAAAGATACAGAAAGCGAAGGAATGCTCATTATTTTATTGGTGCAACAGCCCTGGGACTTGCGAAAGTCAAAATGCATAAGCTATTAGGTTGTGGATGTTATTGTGCTATTAACGCATGTTTATCGATGGGTGCTACTGCACCAGCGGTGCTGTATAGGAACGGCTCTCATTGGCTGACGTGCCACCTCATTAACGCGGCATTTTCCGAGCAGCACCGGTGCTATTGCTCCCCTGATTGCATCCATTACGTTGGGTCCTATTGATGTGCTGAAGAGCATCAGGGCACCACTACAATGTTCTGCGCGAATAGCACCGGTTGCTATTCTGGTGTGCTCTTTGGACTCGAGCGGCGCTATTCGGGGCACAAATAGCACCTCTCAGGGCCGAATAGCGTCGGAGTGCCATTGCTTCCCAAACCGTTGAATGTTGGTTTTCCGACATGTGGCACCTGCCATTCAGATGACCAAATAGCCCCGCCAGTGCAGTAGCACTTACTGACAAAGATGCCCCTATTCAGGCTATCGTATCCATATTGCCGATTTGTATGCTCGCATAATCGCACACAGCGTACAAGCACCCAGACAAACCACCCCTTTATATCAGCTGAGTAAAATTTACTCATGATCCGGAACCAATCTTTGCCAAGAAAGAAACGCTCGCTAACGCGAGCTTTGTGCTGTTGGTATGCAAACAATAGTGACTTGAGGGCTTCTGTGAAAACATGCAGCAGACATCTTAGGTTTTACAACTTCTGCATCATTTGCCCAATTTCATGATGCAATTCGTAATTGCGTTTTCCGGTTTCTGTCTTTTAAAGTTGGCATCTCAGAGATTCATTTTTTGGCACCCTTTTGTCTTCTCCTTGTCCCATAACTTTAACGAAAGATTCGAAATTCACAAATATTTAGTTCCTAAGTTCACAAGGCCATGGTACATCTTCCGCTTCGATGTATTCGACTTCAACAACGCCATGGCAACTGAGCGAGTTGCGATTCATGTGGGAGCGTGTAAGTTGCGAAATCTATGACCCCTGTGATAGTGGCACGATTTCGTTCCTGACGAGGCACCCGCGTTTGTCACAGCCCTCTCAGTGGCCATGGCCTGCGCAGGAAGTTCGATTCTGGTGATCCCAAAGAGCGTGGCAGTGGCAGAGAAGCGCACAGGAAAACATAGCAAGACAAGCCACTCGTGGGGAAGACATGGATTCGATGGCTCCAGATCGCAACGAATCGAATGTGCGGCCCCGAGTGGCAGAGGGCATTACAACGCCTTGCACGAACAGATCTACAGTAAATAATTGAAGGCAATGTGGTTTGTGCCTCATGAATTTTGCCAATCCCGCGTGGGGTTGGATGTTGACAGGCACATGGACGCGATTTACCGCCTTGGTATGCCATTTTGTGTAGTTGTATTGATTGCATCTGTCTACAAGGGGCAAGTGGTATTGGCAAGTACACACTATGCGCCAGAAAGGCGTCTGTCCGGCATATGGCGATGTCAGGCATTTGTGCATTGAACGCATATTAATCATCTTTGGACAGACATGTCCAGAATGCGATTTCCATGAGTGTCAAGGTTCAAATGCATCGTATCCTACACTACTCACGCAGATCAGCTGACCCTGTAGCGGCTTGCACGACACGCCCAGCTGTGCAGAAATATGGAAGAATGGCAGCAAAACACATGGCATATGCCATACGCGGCACGTTTCAACATCGCGCATGGTCAATGCGCCTATTCGCGAATTCAACAGGGACAGCAAGCACGAATGGAAAAAGTTGGCATGAAGACAGCCATGCCCAATATGCCCAACGAGCCTTCTGTTGCGCGCAAAATCACGGGGATTCTCACACGATGACAACCGACACTCCTTGCATTCCCCCTGCGGCGCCATAAAATTCAAGTCGCGCGTGGCATCATTCGCTCGTCAGCGAAGCAGGCTGAACGACTGCACATTTGCAGCAACGCCCCTTGTCCGGGGTCGCCGCTTTCCTCGCACAGGCTGCGCGTCGCCGACGGCCAAAGTAACATGTCCCGCGGGACAGACATCCAAACCGCCGGCCGCTATTCACAACTCCCGCTGCGCGGGCCCCGTCGGCTGCATTCGCGCCGCGCGTCTCGCCCCGCGATTGGTGAACAACAAACATTTTGGCGAACAACAAACCATGCTGGCGATCGACAAAACGGGGCCTTGTCCGCGGCGCCGCTCGCGCACGTGACCGGCCCCCACAATATATTAGCCCCCCTATCCTTTATCGCGCGGATCCCTACTTCTTCCGCTGACAAGGCCAACGGCGGTCAGTGGGTCAGTGGCTTTGGGGGCTTGGGGTGTCCGGAAACAAGAAGGGATCTTCACGGAAAAGACAGAGCGACCGGTCTCATGCCCGCGAGCGGCCCTGGGACCCGGATGGGGCGGCTGGGCTCCCCCGCGACGCGTCAGCCGCGTTTCCCAGACCCCTCTGCACCCATCGGGGCTTGTGATGCAGAGGGCGACAGCGACAAGGAATCCCCCTCAAGTCGCGCAAAACGCGCCGCTTGGGTGCCGACAGCCCCCCGTCGGCGCCACGCATTTGGCCAGCGCCCGAGCATCCCCCCCACCCGCGTCAACCCCGGGAAAGCTCCACAAACCCTCCTACCCTACACCGGCGGCCCGACGGGGGCCGCGGGGGTGCGGTTCCCTCACTCAATCGTACCGTGGCAATGTACCCCCCCCCCCGGGTAGCCCGACCCGTTCCCCGACCTACGCGCCCGACTTACGTAACGCAAGCCGCGCGGCGCCAGCGGGCCCTGGGTCCCGGTCGGACGCTCGAGAGGGGGCGCAAGGGGGGGCGTCGGGCGGGCCTGGCCGAGCCCTGCGCCTGGCTGGGGCCCAGCGGGATTCGCCGCGGCGGGCGGGAGGGGGGGGAGGAGGGGTGAGGGGTCGTTTGCGCGGCGCGCCGCGAATCGTCAAGGGCCAAGGGGCGTCAGACGCTGACACTGGGCACTGACGCAACTGGAGGATACGGTGACAAGGAGCCGGTTCAGGGGGGTTGAAATTCGGGCCAGCCGCGGGGCCCCTCCTAAACCCTCCCTTGGCTCGCGTGAAGGCCGGAGCTTTCCCCCTGGCGCGGCTGGAACGCAGGCGGCCCGCACCCCCCCGCCAGACGAGCAATCCCGCGGCCGCGCTTTGGCCCGGGGCAGGTGTGACCCTTCGGGGCGGTTTGGCGTCTTTGGGAGGGGCGAGGAGGGGCGTGGGGCGCGATGGCGGAGGGCGGCGAGGTGGCGGTGGTGCCAAGCGAGTGCCACGGTTTCGATGAGTGCGAATGCGAGGAGATCGAGTTCGTGGACGACGTGGTGCTGTTCACGTTCTTCATGCTCTTCCTGGGGCTGGTGGCCAAGCATCTGCTGCGCGGCATACCCATTCCCTACACGGGCATGCTGCTCATCATGGGCCTCGCCTTCGGCTTCGTGCACACAAGCCTGCGCCCGGACAAGGGCGACCTGCTGTGTGAGTCGCGGCTGGAGGCCTGCTGCGAGGAGCACACCGTGTGGCGGCGGGGCTACCGGTACCTGGGGCGCGGCATAGAGGGCTGGGTATCGATCGAGCCGGAGCTGCTGCTCCTCATCCACCTGCCGGCGCTCATCTTCGCCAGCGCCTTCACGCTGGACTTCCACATCACCAAGCGCAACATCTGGCAGATCCTCATCCTGGCGGGCCCGGGCGTGGCCGTCGGCATCGCCCTCACGGCGACCGTGGCCAAGTACGTCTTCCCGTACGACTGGTGTTGGCCCAAGGCGCTGATGTTCGGCGCCATGCTCAGCGCGACTGACCCCGTGGCGGTGGTGGCGCTGCTCAAGGAGGTGGGCGCTTCAGCCATCCTGGGTACCGTCATCGAGGGTGAGTCGCTCTTCAATGACGGCACTGCCTTCGTGTTCTTCCTCCTGTTCCGGGACCTCATCAGGTGGACCACCAGCTGCAACAACGACGAGTGTCACAACGCGTTCGCCATAGACCCCCGCCTGTGCCCCTGCCTGGACGATCCCTTGCTAGAGGTGGCATCTGAGGGAGGGGAGGGTGCTGCCGCGATGGAGTCCGTTGCGGGAGAGGGCGGCAGGCGCCTGCTGCTGGAGGAGGCCAGGACCTGCACGAACTACTCCAGCGACTTCACGGCCATCCGTGACTTCCCGGACCGCACCGTGGGGGACTCGATCGAGTTCTTCGCCCGCCTGGCGCTGGGCGGGCCCGTGGTGGGGATCGCCTACGGGGTGGCGGCCTCCACGTGGATAAACTTCGTGTTCAACGACATGGTTGTGGAGGTGGCCATCACGTTCATCACCGCCTACCTGACCTACTACACCGCGGAGGTGCTGCTGGAGATGTCGGGCGTGCTGTCAGTGGTGGGCCTGGGGATCACCATGGCGGTGCTGGCGCGGCCGCGGCTGTCGCCCAAGGCGCACGAGCCCATGGAGGTGTTCTGGGAGATGGTGGAGTACTTCGCTAACACGATGATATTCGTGTACGCGGGCGTCCAGATTGCCGTGGCGCTGAAGGAGGAGGTGGAGGAGGACTTTATAAGCAGCACGGAGTGGGGCTACGGCTTCCTGCTCTTCCTCTTCCTCCAGGTGAGCTTTTCACCGGTCTTGGGCGAGCGCGAGGGACTTTGGAGCGCGGGAAGGGAAAAGAAACTCTCGCTGGTCTTTTGGCCAAATTCTGTTGACCGGCGAGGAGAAGAGCCGTAAAACGGGGGCGCCCCTTTTTGTGCGAAATCCACAGTTTCTGGGGCGATGCTCCACACTGCGCAGGTCCGAGCGGAAATCCCTTGATTGCAGAGGTGCAGTGGGCCGACGAAATGCAGCATTTGCGGGGGGAAATAGGCGCTCAAGGTGACCCGTATGGACCAAAGATGGTTGGAGAAATAGCATGGATGAAGGTCAACGCCTTATGGTTTGAAGGGCAGCACTTTGATTGCATTTTTGGAAACTGAGACAAACGGATTGCCTCTGCTGGCTTGCGATCTTGAATCCTCCGCAGCTGTTGTCCTGTTTACGTTTGCGTTTTTGGCTCCTTTCTTGGGGCTGTCAAGATGTTCAGAGCAGGGAGAAATCAGCAATCTTCTCCAAGGGGAAACCTGCCTGAATGGCAGTGTGCCAAATGGTACCTTACATCGTCAACAGCTGTGCAGTGGTGTGTTTTGGCAAGCACGTTTATGTCGGTCCAGGCGTCAGCCAGTGGGTGAGCATGGCAGCAATTTATCTTGTGTTGACAGTCGACTCAGCACAGCTTCCTCCCAGCCACACCAACTGTGTCTCTCTTCCCCTGCAGGTCATCCGTCTGGTGACAGTGATAATTTGCTACCCCTTCATGATCATGACCGGGTACTACATACAGTACAAGGAGGCGCTGGTGATGGTGTGGGGTGGCCTGCGGGGTGCGGTGGGCCTTGCACTGGGCCTGATTGTTCAGTTGGACTTTCGACGCATCGACCCCAAGTTCCGAGCCCTGGTGATATTCTACATGGGCTTTATTGCCGCCCTGACGATCATTGTCAACGGCTCCACGATGGGACAGGTGCTTGCCTTGCTGGGGGTCACAAAGCCTAAGCCCGAGAAGTTGGAGGTGCTGTTGCATGTGGTCAAAGAATTGGAGAAAACTGGGGAGGGGTTGGAGTTGGAGCCCGACCCCTTGATGGGCGATCCTGACATAAAGCTGGTGAAGCAGCTGACGTCGTTGGACACGAGCAAGATCGTCCCGTCCCGTGAGTTGGTGTGCAGAGTGATGAAGGACGCCGAGAACCAAAACCACCCGGCCGCGCTCGCGCTGGACGAGCATCTGTCAAAGAGCGTCGACTTGGACAAACTGACGCTCAGCAAGACGCAGGGTATGCTGTCCAAGGTGAGCCACTTCGTGGTGGCCGCCAAGAAGCCTTCTTCTCGGTTCAGCTTCCACCACAAGTCGCGCAGGATGGGGGAGGAGATCACCACGGAGATGCTTGTGCTGGACTTCCGCTCGCGGCTGCTCACGGGCGTCAAGTCTGAGTATGGGCACCTGAACGAGGAGGGGGTGCTGGACCCAGACCAGCACTACAGCCTGAAGGAGAGTGCCGACGAGGCGCTGGACGCGGCGGGGAAGCCCCTGAGCGACTGGAGGCACCTGGAGCATGCGTTGTCTTTCCAGTTCTGGCGCAAGGCGGTGAACCTGGGCGAGAGCGTGTTCCGATCCGAGTGGAAGATCAAGGGATTGGGCAAGCCCGTGCAGAACTTCCTGGACCAGCGCTTCTTTGAGGCACTGGAGCACTCGGCCATCATGGCCAAGACGTTCATCCACGCTCACCAGGAAGCATGCCACAGCCTACAGGAGTACATAGAGTTCGTGAAGAAGGAGCAGCAGGTGAGGGGTCGACTTTGGACAGCAGTGATAATAGACCATGGGGGAATGTGTGCTTGCATGCAGCATTCAAAACGCCACAAAGGCCGTGGCACCCTTGTCTTCTGTGAATTCTGATCATAATCACGAGTGCCAATTTTCCCAGTGGTCCACAAGGACCCTCTCAGTGCTTGGTGAAATGGGCCATGAATAGGGCGCCTCGCCCGCCAAGTGTATTGTGAGACTCCTTGCCTTCATGTATAAGATGCTGCAGAATCCTCCTGGTGCAGTTGGAGAACACGCAACACATAGTGGTGTGTCTAGCAAAACAGTATGCACTCGAAGGGGGTGAACTCATGATGTCAAGTTGCTGGAACGTTGTGCCAATGGTTGGCAAAGGCCCGCCTCAGCTGCTTTCTCAGAGTGCATTGCGCAAAAGCTGGGGAAATCTTGCCCAGCAACCTTCGTAGGCGGTGCTGGGCGTCGTGGGATGGATGATAGAGCTTCCTTGCAGTGTTGCACTGGTGTTCTTTCCATACTCGTCGCTGGCCGAGCGCTCAACTGCGTTCAAGCATTTCGTCAACCAGCAAAATCTGTGCGCCCCGTTTTGGGACGAGCAAAGGAGTGCTTCTCACCGTCCGCGACCTGCCCAGGCGAACGAGGCCGAGGAGGGCGCCGCGGCCGTCATCGAGGATGCCTCCAAGCGTGTGCTCCGCGAGAGCCTCGAGGAGCAGGAGAAGGCGACCGAGTTCCTGCAGAACATGCGCCGCGCCTATCCCGAGGTCACCCTGGCCATCAAGACCAAGCGCACCGCCTGGGAGGTGCTCCACAACAAGCTCAAGTACGTCGACGAGCTCCTCCTGTCCGGCCTGGTGGAGCGGAAGGAGGCCCAGGCGCTGAAGCTGGCCGTGGAGCAGAAGATCAAGCACCTGATGTACCACCCGCCGAAGATGGGCCTGCCGGACTCCTCCACCCTGCTGCGCAAGCACCCGCTGTTCAGCGAGATGGACGAGGAGGTCTTCAAGCGCGAGGTGCTGCCCAGCGCCTCCCTGCGCCTGTACGCTCTCGGCGAGAAGATCTTCGAGATCGGCGAGGTGTCCACGGAGCTGAGCCTCGTCGTCCGCGGCGTGGTGCGCGTGGAGGCCGCCGGGCACGCTCAGTGCGCCGTGCAGCAGGGCACGGGCGCCATGGTGGGCGTCAGCGAGGTGATGCTCAACGAGCGGCGGTCGCGCAGCCTGGTCGCCGAGACGGCGGTGGTGGAGGTGTACCAGATCAACGCGGAGACCTTCCGCGACGTGGTGCAGAAGTACGAGCGCGTGAGGCGGCGGGCTTGGCAGATGGCCGGCGCGTTCCTGACGCTCAAGAGCCCGTGGGGGCAGTTCGGGGGCAAGACGCATGCGGAGCTGCAGTCCCTGTTCCGCCAGTCCACGCTGGTGGAGCTGGAGGAGGGCGACAAGGTGTGCGCGGAGACCAAGAGCTTCCTGGTGTTCGGCGCCCTGGAGAGGCCGGGCGAGGGCGAGGAGCGCGCCGTGGTCGTCTCCCCCTCCCCGCTGGCCAAGTTCATCACCTACACCGCCAAGTCCACGTCCAAGATCCTGAACCTGCAGGAGCTACCACGCAAGAGCCTTGCGCGCGTGGCGTCCATGGCCGCCGGCGGCGCAGTGGCCAAGCGCCCCGCGATCGCGCAGCTCTCCATGCGCCCCACCGCGCTCACCCGCGCGGCGTCCATGGGCCCCCGGGCAATCGGAATGCACGGCATTGCCGCGGCGCTGACCGACATCGCCGAGGGATCTGGCCCCAGCGAGACCGCCGCCGCTGCCGCGGCTGCGGTGGCGGCCGTGGATGCGGAGAGGGAGGCGGAGGAGGGAGGCGAGAAGGTGCCGCTGACCAAGGCGGAGTCGGCGCCGTCGTGGCGGCTGCGCCAGGCGGCCGACAGCGCCGACCGCCAGCTGCGGGAGGAGGCGCAGCGCTCGCGCATGCGGCCACTGGTTACGCGCGCCTCCACGGGCGTCACGCCCGGGCAGGTGTGAGCTCGGAAGCTGCCGGGAAAGACCAGGGAAGGTGTCAAGAAAGTGGACAGAAGGTGCCGCGATGTGGGAGCTGGGATGGCCGGGGGGGGCGGCCCGGGCGTTGGGTCGGGCCCCCGCTGGGCGAGATTTGGCTGCGAGGGAAGATTTGTTCTTGGGATGTGTGGTTGCGTAGTTGTGTGTGTAGTTGTGTAAGCGAGAGGGCGGGAGCCCTTCGGGAACGGCTTCAAGGGCCGCTTTGATTTGCGGGGGCGAGGGCTGGCTCCCTGCGTGGGGTGTACATTATGCGCGCTGCTGAATGGAGGGGAGCGGCTCGGTGACTGTATGAAGGCGAGCGCGCCAGCGAATGGGCGTGGCAGGGATTGAACGAGGGGCACTTGCGCACGGGTTTGTATGGTTCAGCGATCTGACAAGTGTGGAGTATCAGACAGAGGTGTGCGCCGTTCAGGCCGCCACGATGAGGCTGCTTAGATGGGAGGCGCCGTGGACGTGGGGGCCCGTACCAACTGACCCAACAGGGCTATATTCGTTCCTGTAGGATTAGGCTCACAAACGATTGACACCTGTGTGCCCACCCCGTACCCAGTCTCCAGCAGGGAGGGGCCATCATCTGGGCGGGGTGCATTCTGGGCACGGCTCATGTAACACTGCCGTTGTTGGAACTCGGAGTGGGGGGTTTGCCAGAGTCAATGACTTCGCACCACCACGACTGACACAACCCCAAACTGTGTCGCATGGAAACTTCGAACGACTGACAGGCGCCAAATTTTGGGCGGCGCAGCCGCTCAGCTGGCAGAGTGATGAGGTGATCGTTTAGCACAAGTGCTGCGAGAGCAATGGACACTGCGGCGCTTTGCCTAAGTATGGGATTGACCACTTTTGTGGGTCAAACAGCAGCCCTTGCCAAAATACCGTGGAAAGACATTCGGCGCTCGATTGTAGGGAACCCCTTTTTGCCATCATTTTGGCCGTGGCTTTGTCCTTTTCCGCCAAACCGCTCTGCATCGGCAACTGAAACATGTCAGCTGACTGCCGTTTTTCTCGATACAGCACGCCTTCGACAACCACATTGTTATGTGTGACAAGGAACTATGAGCGGCAACCAGTTGCAGGGACAAACCTTGCCCCCAAGCAGACGTCCACGCCCAGACATGTCCTGGGTAGAGGTAAACTTGGACGGTAGGTTGGCACCACGCATGGCTGGCGGACGCCTGTTGGGTGGAGCAAGACTGCTTAGGAGCGCAAAGGCTTGCGGTTGTGAACAGCACCCTATGTTGCACAATGCATGCAGGCCCGGTCACTTGCTACACCCCAACGAATGCAGTCACCAAGGACTTCGATCTGTAATGTGATGATGGAGCAAGACAGCAGCGCTTCACATGCTGCACGCGTGTGCCATGCATATTCTGGCCATCTCAGGGGCAGTCTGACTCGTTCCAAACATCTCCAGCTGCGTTGTCAGCCCCTCTCCACTTGCGCAGCCATTGGTTGTGACTGTCCACACGCCTCGGCACCAGCCGCGCTCCCTCCACTCGCCCACCCACTCACCCCTGCAACGATCCCCCATCCGCGTAGCCTGTCCTCAATTCCGCTCTTCCTTCACAGTTGGGATCGCCCCATTTTTGCCGGAATCACATAAACCTCAAGCCCTGAGTTCCAAAGCCTGGAGACAGAGGGTCCCAGCTCAGTCCGGGCCCAGGCAATGGCCGAACAGTTGCATCATTTAGGCATCCGTTCACTGGCTTGTCAGTGGATTTGTGCCTCGATGCCCTGAGCTGGCTTGCTGCGTTATGGACTCCCTGCCCAGTGCTGCCAAATAAGCCCACTGGACACCCCGGAGTAGTCTCAATGCCAAAGACGGCTAGAACCGCTTGAGTTGTGTGCGCCGCGCTCACATTCGCTGCAAGAAGTTCCTGTGCATAGCTTGTCAATGCTGGCAGATGCAATCCATGGAGTGGCACGCATTGCGAGGTGCCAAGTAATATGCCCATTTCGTCCCAACGGGTTACCACCATCTTCTCAAACTGCATGCCTGGTCCTTGGTGGCGTCAAGCACCGTCACTGTTTAGTTCCTGGGCCGTTTTTGGTGCTGGGCACTGTGCTCAGTAGTTGTTTGGCGTCCTCTACAGAACCCACGCGGAAATGCCAAAGAAGAACGCTGCCCTAGGGCATCTGCAGAGCTCGAGCTTGGACTGGCCTGCAGACTCTGAATCTGGGCATCCCATGGTGTGTGTAGAATCCCCAGTACTTGAGTACCTTGAACCTCAAGACACCTCCAGAGGCAGAATGGCTACAGTGCTTGAGCCAAAAAGCCCCAATAATGCCCTTTGCTCTACCCAACCTCCTGGGCCTCTGTGAAGTTCACATGGTTCCACTGTTAAGCGTCCTGGCAACTGTTGGAAGCCATCCACAGTGTGAGCATTGGGCGCAGAACTAGCTTAGCCCGACGGTTCAGGTTCCATGTCCTGTGTCGAGGCCCCTGCACCATTGCCTTCTGCAGGTGCTTCTTCAGGGTCGTCTTCATCACTGGTGCTGATCGTTGGTGGCACGTAGTCGGCAGGGGCAATCACCTACAGGGGAGGGAGTGGCGTCAATCCGTTTGACTACACATGCTCACCAGGTAATGCCTGCTTGTCACCGTTCAATGAATGCCAATAGCAGCGTGGTTGTTAGGAAAGGACAAATCGTTACCTTTGCACTTTCACAGAACCTTACGGTAAACAAATTGAAAAGAGAAAACGAATGAATCAGTAAAGAAACAGATAGATAAACAAATTCAATGGATAGAGATCGCAGATGCATGCACATTGTTCAAGACTATTCCACTAAGAAAGCCCAGAGAGCGGAAAATGTAGAGATGGGCAGTTGTTTGGCAAAGAATGCCTTGGGCCAACAATGGCATCGTCATGAAATGGCAATGGAGCAACACTATCCGACTGCAACTGCCAGTAGGATTGCCCCTTGGTACATGGGTTGTGGCAATATAGCCCAAACCAACATCATTAATAATAATACTGGCAAAATGGCCCAAACACAAGTTGCTGTCCTGTTTAATACCCACAGCTGCACCCATCAGGCACCCACTCTGGTGCCCCACCATTTTCACATCTGAACCTGGCAGGAACAGCTACACGTGGAAATATACTTGTGCACAGAGATGCCAAGTATGCACAGAAATGCCACACATGGGCATTGCGGTGCCAAGTGCACAGAGACGCCACACGTGAGTAATTTGTACAGCGGGGTGCCATCACTTCACAAGTCAGAGTTTCACAATATCCTCACAAAAGAATGCTTCAATTTCCTAAAAAAACACACTGGCGGTTGCACCCTCTGGCACTTGCACAGGTCCTAGCACAACACTTCAACGACAGCACCCCACAATCGGCGACACCATCTCAAGCTTCCTTTGAGTGCCCATGCCAGAGCGCAAGCCGTTGGCAACTTTCTGGCCACACAATCGAGCAGTGGGGAAGCACGCTGCTCCAAGCAAAGCACTACAAAATGCACAGAATGTGGTGGCTTGTGGGATGCACCACGAGGTGAGATAGGGTTTGAGTGTATGGGAAGGGTAGGGTGTGATGATATTCTGACGGAGGAAAGTGAGAATTCTGGTATCAATGGTGAACAATGGACAGCCAACTTGAAACTTAGGTTGCAGCCTCGTAACATGCCATGTATATCGCAATTAATTGTCTTGTTGCATGCCAGCAGCGCACTCAAAAGTCTCACAAGTGACGACTCCATTTTGGGTGGGCTGGGCTTTGTGCAATAACCTTAGAAAGCAGAGTAAAGTATCCATGACATACACTTAGGTGGTATTGACAACTGGTCGTATTTGGCATTGTTGGTTGCATGTTATGTCGCTTTGTTTGGTCATCCCAGCACCAGGGAGCAACAAATCGGGCCCTGGCCCATTTCCTACCAAGCAAGAGTGCTTCCTAGCACACAACATGTACATCATGGGTGCCCATCCTTTCATGCCCAGTGCTTCTAAGATTTGGCATCAATCAGATGCTTGGCTATCCCTCCACTGTCCGGAATCAGATCGGAAGATGATGCAGGGAGGGGCGTTCCTCCATCATCGTGTGCTTTGTTGAGTCAGAGCTGGTTTCAATCAGGGCTTGGCTACCGGGAGATTGCCATTGAATGTAACCCAGTACGTAGGTGCCGACCAATCATCGTATGTTGTGTCCATATCGGCCCTCACCTCGAGAAGGCACTCCCTCCTCGAGGTGAGGACTAATGTGGACAAAGCACATGACAATGGATCGAAGCCTCCATAATGGGTTGCAATCAGCAGCATGCCCCCGGCAAACAAGGTTCTCATCAAAGCCAAAACTGACCCCAACAAAGCGAACAAAGATGGCAAAACACCCCTCCACACTTGCTCTCACATCTGGATACGAAGGCTGATAAGGATGACAAGATGATTTGATTGATGGCATATTTGACATGGAGGCAGTGGATGAGAAAGGTTGGTCACCAATAATGTGCATTGCATGAGTTGATAATGCCAATTGTCCTCTTTCTCATTTCAAGAGAGTGGGCATCAAAACATTTCTATCTGAAGCACTTAAACATGTCGTTATCCGACTTGCCCATTCACTGCAACATATTGTATTTTCAACAGGCCTTTCATTTCTTTCATCTCTTTCAGGAATGCTTCCTGTTGTTCTTGTTGTAGCTTGACAGAGACTGCCTCCTCCAACTGCAGCATTGGATGGGAGCAACCACTCATGATAGTAGGAGAGCACAACTGAGAATGGCCGTGGTACTGATGAGGAAACCAATTAGGGTGGCTCCTGTATGCATACTCAACTCTTAAAACAGGCGAAGTCAAAATGCAGCTCAGCAGTGCAATCTTCAAACAGATTCATGCACAATGGTCACATTAACTTGCATGTGTTGAATCACCTGATAGTTGCGATTGAGAAGACAGTCCTCTTCAGGGGGCAGTTTGTGTCCTGGCTCATCGCTGATCGGTGGTATTGGTGCACTGTTGACTTCCTCAGCAAGTTTTCTGATTTCCTATCAGCAGCACAGTAGACATCACACGAAAGTGATGGCAACAATGTATGGGACCAGGAGCCCACCAGTCCTGGATTCTGATTCCCAGGTCAGCGACAGAATGATTTAAACTCAAATGCACTATCAGGCCAGGGCCTTTTGTGGCCTGTGGATGTGTCCACAAAGATCTGACTGGCGTGCAATGGTGAGACTTGTGCAAGTGGCAATAGCACAATGGTGAGCACCTGACGATTCGACCAACAAACACGGTGTCATTTCACTCTCACAGCATTAGTGTCAAAAGCATGGGGCTGCCTTGTTCGCCTGCGTGGGAGATGCACAGCAATTGTGCAACTCCAGCATGCAGTTTCACAGGAAGCACAATGGAAAAATGGCGGGTAGCGCTCAACGTAAGCTACCAGACAATGTCAACCTCTTGAGCTCTTGCCAGTCATGTACTTCAATGCAACAGAGTCCTGTTGCGCAAGTGGCCACATTGGACATGGCCACATGCTAATGCTACAGTTCAATGTTATATCGCATACTGATATACTTTGGGCAATGTCTTGGCAGGCATCTCTGCAAGCCAAACAATACGAAGAATCCGTTGGAAGGGAAGGCACACTTCCCACTGTCAAATCAACACCAGGGCACCCAATGGAAGGAACAGCATAATGTGAATTCACAATTTCAATTTCCTCTGCACAAAGCCAATCGCACCAATCAGTACATTGTGTCCATGCAGGGTAACCAAACAAGAATGTTGCACGGGCCCAGAGGGGACAGTGGCAGTACAGGTACCCTTGGCCAGTTTTGTAATATATATACGAGCATGGGCACACCTGAAGCGAGCGGCCTGTTGTTTGGTACTGATGACCGCCTAGATCTATGGCGAGATCCACGTGCTGTTTCTGCACAGCCTCCCCACTTCCTGTGAAGCCCTGTCATAGAATACCACAGAAGACGCCTTTGCCGGTGATACCCAACCAGGTTGAACTACAAATTGCCAGGAGGTCCACCATGAATCAGCCGATGGTCATTTTGTTCCTTGCAGTGAATAACTGAGGGTCCAACTTCCATCTTAGGACACAAGGCAGTTGATGCGACAGCAAGATCAAAAGCATGGCCAGTACTGGCTTTGCCAATAGCACTGCAGCCACTGCTGCTCACTGCTGTGCTGTCGTCACTTCAGCAATCTGCCAGCAAATGATGAGAACTGTTTGCCATCTTTCTGCTCTTGTTTGCAAGCAATGTGCAATCACAGAAGCCCTGGCAATTCAGACCATGTACAGCTCCAAATTGGTCCACCCAGTAGTATCAGAAGGTATGCCCTGTTTCCTTATTTGGTTATGCAATGGCTCTTGACGCAAGTCTAACTTTGGGATCCCTAAAGCAAGCCAGCTTTCACGACAGCGCACAGCAGCAAATAATGGCTGCAGACTGATACGCCTGTGCACTGAGGGTCGACAACGGCAAGGTCAAAATACAGAACAGTGCAACAAGTGCCTCTGACCCAAGCATAAGACTTTGACCATGTCACACTAGTTCATACAGCAGCTTCTAGGCCCAAAAAAACACACAACAATGAACTGCTTGGGAGTAAGGTTCCACTTGAGCACCGTTCACTGTTGGACGCTTGTCTGTGGATTTGGACTAATTTGGAGCTTAGCTTCTTTGGCGAACATCTTCAGACCACCTGCAGAAGGGCATATGGCTGAAAGTGCCCTAAAGGTGCAGCGCTGGGGAGTCTTTAAACTTGTGCAGTCGGGCAAGGCTAAATCAAGTGGCCTGAGTCTTCAGTCAACTAATCTTCAACATTGCATTTCCAGCAAAGGCACATCATGCAAAGGGCACACAAATTCTCCTCCAGAATTCTCAGGACAAAAGGAACATCAGGAGAAACATCACAGAGTAGAATTCCAAATGACCACTGCTTTGGTGAATGCATGATTTCTTCCTATTTGGACTGCTCCGCTGCAAACCACGCCTGCTAACCCCAAAACCACTGGAACATTCTTGCAAGCCAGGAAGGAGTCTCGCTTCAAGCTCTTTGCTCTTGAGAGAGAGCTGTTCACTGGATGATGTGTCTACTATGTGTCTACCATCTTTGGGATGTTCATTATCACAAGGGACCATCAGTGCAAGCCTCCCAACAGTTCCCAGATATGTGGGGTGCCTGATCACCTGCGCCTCTGTCGCGAGCTTTGACGCCGCCTGGTGGCTGAAATGCACAAGGTGTTCCACAACACCAGGGTTCGCCTCCACGCCCTGAACAGAGACAAGCTGCATGAGCGCTGCACTGCTTTTGCTGACAAAGGGTGGCCAAAAGCCATACCGCGCGGCCCCCCTCCTGCGCAAAAAGTCGTTAGAGCTCTTCCGAAGACCGCACCAGAAGCTGCCGGACCAAATTCGCCTGTTCGGTGCAAAAACGGCGCCTTGCTTGCCGATTGGCAAGAACAAACCCAGGAATCCAACAAGTTGCGTTGTTTAGGAGCGCAACAGGACCGCCACAATTCCCGTTCATGCACACATCGTTCCCACAGAACAAGGCACAGCCCATGCTCGTCGCACTGCCACACCAACAGCCCCGGCCCAGCCGCAAGCACTCCCCGCAGCAGGAGCGCCGGCCAGCCCAGGATCCCCACAACTCCCCTACCAGCTCATCGCCGCCGGATCACCACCTGCCAGCGCCGCGATCAAAGAGCCCAATGCCCCACGTGGGCTGCCCAGCCACAGCCTGAGGCGACGGGCACCTCAGCCAACAAATGCCCTGAATGCCGGCCGTGAGGAGCGACTGCGTCCGGCCCCACCCCTTCCCGCTGGCCAGCTGGGACCGATCCGCGAAGAGCAGCGCCTGGAGCAGCTCGAGGGATCCCCTGGGGAGTGGGCGGGATGGCGCGAAGGCTTCGGACGGGCGCGGGAATGCTTTACTGGGGGCGTTAGCCACACCTGCTCGCGCAACAGCGCCTTGATGCACTTCTCGAAGGACGGCTCCTGGGGCCGCGGGGGCATCGCGCCCCGTGTCCGGCAACCTGGTCGGACGACACGGCCGCCCGGACCAGGGGCGTTGTCTGCGCCGTGGGTACTCTGCTCGGATCTGCTCGATTTTGTGAGGCGGCGCGTGTGTGGCCTTCCGTGAAGTACCCCTGTGGAGATTGGTACTTAAGGGGAATGTGACCATTCCGCTTAAAGTAGGGTTTAAAACTTTCAGGGGCGGGGTTCGGCCCCTTTTGAATGAAGCTTTTACTTTATAACCCTCCCCTTCCCCCCCCCTTCACCCCCGCTTCTTGACGTATGCAGCGGAACGGCGGCTGGAGGCAAGACCACAAGGAATCCGAGGCAAACAGCTTCACAAAAGATCATTCCTTACATTCTGTTCATTACATCGGGAAACCTTTCGGAATGGGCTGTCAGTTCCTTGCTAGGAAATCTCCTAACTTCCACGCCCCAGAAATAAAAAACTCCTCTAGGTCCCCCTCCCAGCGCCTCGTGAGCGGCCCACCAGGCCCGGCGGTCCGGCAGTCGGATCCCCCCGACCCCGCGGCCACCGGACGATCCGGTGCGGCCACCCCGGGCGAGTCCCTAATGCGTTCGCACGAAAAGAAAAGATGCGCGGTCGAGTGACCGCCTGAAACGTTAGAAAAGTCATACACCCAAACCCCCTTCCTTGTTGGTGACCGAGCGCCGTCCTAAGAGTAGGGCGGAGCCTCCACCCTCAGTCGCGAAGACGGGAGTTCGTACCTCTGCCTTACACTCTGCCTTGCCCATGCGCTCCAAAGATTGCCCTGGATTGGCAACAGGTAGATGCTTGGTGACGGATGGCTGTGTCAGTTGTGGCGGCGGCAATCATGGTAAACCGTCGGTAGCCGAACCTTCAATGTTGTTGCTTGTAATCCGAGGGGTGGAAGGCCCGAGGAGGCTAAGGCTGGCAGTGCGGCAGGCTCGAATCGGAAGAAGAAGCCACTCCGGGAAGAGGATCATTGAGTGCGTCTTGGAGGGCTTGGTGAATGGCTTGCGCTTGAGCCAATGAGAAGATGGGTAGAGATCCAAGGATGGGACGGTGCAATGGAGGGGGGTGGTACGGGCGAGCGGCGGTTGATGCGAGGGGTGCGCGCGGCGAACACGGATGCGGGCATCGTGAATTACGAGGATGGGTGATGTGAAGCGCAGCGCGGCGCGGCAGGGACGCGTCCGCGGGGGCCCAGGGGATGTTTTCACGTTCCTCCACTGGCGGGGAGTCACCAGTGAGGTCAATCACCTCTGGGACCTGGAGGTTGGGAGAGAAGGGTGGGATGGTAGGAGAAGTGGCCGTGAGGGCGTTGGGTGGAGCAGGGCGGCTGCCATCCCCATGGGGCGCACACGGGGAAAGGCGACGAGGCGAATGCTCCGGGGTGATGAGGACCAGGGTGTTATGGTCTAGGCCGCGAGGCCTAGTGGTGGCAGCCAAAAATGGCAAAAGGGTATAAATACCCATGGGAGAACTTTAGTACAAGGGTGCTGATGAGGCATTGTGGCAAAAGCGGAAACTGGTCCACCTTGCCGTGAGATCAAACCCTACCTAAGGCAAATTGTTCCGCCAGGGTTTTTTCCTACAGAAACCTAAAGTACTAGTATTCCAACCCACCAAGGACAAAAGCGCAACACAGGGGGCCAGGATGGGGGCGGGGGATCAAGGCCTGCAGCGGTGGATAATCCACACAGTGTGTTGAGGAACTGAACGTGGTCATTGCTCTTGACCAGTGGTGGAGGCGTAGAGAGTTGTATGCCTCTGTACCCCCAATCCAGCCAACCTGGGCGAGAGGCTGAGTGCGGACTATCAGCGGGGCTGACGTGCGACATAGCGAACATTGCGCCATGAATTTGGTTGCCTCGGAGGTGAATGGGGTGAGGGCAGTGAGGCTCTTAAAAGGGCGCCCCTCAGAGTCCACGTCCAACCCCCCGACCGCCACGTTCTTATTGTGGTCGAACAGGGCCGTCCGAACAAAGTTCGAAAGATGCATGCTACGGAACATGTGCGCCTCGTCGATCGCGACGAGGGAAGCGTCATCGTAAGCGCGCGTCTGTTCGGGAGTTAGGCCGGGGAGGATTGGCCGGTCCACTGGCAGGGGGACGGCGAGACATTCATCTCCTGAGTGGGAAGTGATGGCAGGCCGGCCACTGCGCTCGTAGCGGTTGTCGGTGACCGGTTTCGCGGTGAAAAAAGTTCGATGCTGGCCGTTGTGGGTACGCAGCTTGGCTAGAACCAGGTGGTTTTGCTCGCGAACATGGGGCCAAAGGCGACCGCCAACGTTGCAGTGTTGGAGCACGAAGGGGTGGGGGCCGAATGATCTTCCATCGGATATGGCTTGCAGGTGGGCAGGTGGGCACTGGAAAGTGGATCACGGTCTCGACCGGGCTACTGGGAGCTGTTGCTCGACCAAGGCCACGGGAGCGCCAGTGCTCGACACTTGTGGGTTTGCTTTGTGCGCGTGTGCCATGTTGCACTCTCCCATCCTTAAATACTTGGGGTGGCCCTTTCCATGGGTTCCTTGCATGTGTGGTGCCGCTTATGCTAGCACCCCGTGCTGTGAGTTAGTAAGGGCTTAGGCGGGCCTTTATCCGCCTCGTAGATACCCTGAAGCCATCCGGCATGGCCCCTTTCTTTATCCGCGCTGGCTGTGGCGGGCCTGTGGGAGGGCTTGGCCCTTTTCATGCATGTAATATGCGCGCTTGCCCGGCGAACAACCCAACGGGTAGAACTCGGCGGTTATTAGTCAGAGGTCTGGTAGGCCTGGGCACCCACTGACTCTTAACCATGGAGATTTGGCCATGTGTGTCTGAGCGTACGGCATCTGATAGAGGCGCGCGACTGGCGTGTAGTACGCCTATCGACAGCTCCCTCAACATGAACCCGTGGGGGCCATGGCATTGTGGCCCATGCCTTGTGGCAGCGAAACCGGCGCTCACGCCGTTCCCCGCATTCCCCTGAGGCTGGGGCCTTGTGCGTGCATGACCCCCGGAACATCCTCGCGCATTCCCCCTCGCCCATCTATCCTAGCTTCCCAATGGTAAAATGGATAGGGGAATGCAATGGTCGGGATCCCGCAGTTCTCCGGGCGTTTTGCCCCATGCCCCGGTAACGTCCCCTAGACTGCACGAGGGATAGACCCGTATAATCTCAATGCACTATACACGACCACCCTTTTCCGCCCTCCCCTTGGCCCCTCAAAGTTGTTAAACCCGCCACTTTTTCATCGATACATTTGGGTAGTCTAATTATAGTCTTTGAGCCTTTATCATTATCATCATCATCACTTATAGAACAACGCAATAAGGTAGCCGTCAGCTTCCTATTTTGCCCAAGCAAAGTAGAGTCTGTGATCAGTTCGTTGAAATCTAATGTGAAACGCAAACAAAATCTACAAGTATATTATCTCATGATGCCTAGAAGCAATTGTCGATGATAATACATCTAACGAAGTGTCCTCGCCAATTGGCGAGCAGGAACCAAAGAAAAAATCCAAGAGCGGCTTCGACAGATGTTATCTTAGGCCTGCCAGTGGAAGAGGAGTGGATTTCATCTTCTGAAGCCAAGTGACATAAAGGACACAGTCGCCTTGAAAATTCTGGAATGGATTATCGCGCTTGGTGTCATTGATGCTCAACTTCCAGAAGTGCGCCCCACAATGAAATCGCAGAAAAAATGTCCTCAAGGAAGATAGGTTGTAATGATGACAGGAATCGTTTATATTGGTAGATAATCTACCAATCATTGGCTTAAATTTTTTGTACCATCGTTGAATCCTTGAATATTGGTTGGGAAAGTTACTAGCAATGTGGACATGTTTGTATATCCATTGGAAAGATTGTACATCAATTGGTGTATCCAGTATTGAATTGAGATCAAGCCAGAATCAACAGAAGAAGGCAGTGATGCGTTCATACCACGATCGAGGATTGGTTGAGAATTGTTGAAATATATTTGAAAATGACGCCATGCACACGAGAGTTGGAAAGTTCTTCCATTCGATTCCAATATCGCATCAATTGTCTCCAAAGGTAAAATTATAAAGGAAGTGCTCCATTTTGGCACAAACAATCCCCAATGGTATATGGCCAAGAAGACAAGAAATTTGGTGTAAGAATTGAGTTTGGACCTTCTCCAACTGATTCCATTGAGTTTTTGAGAGAAAGGGACCCCAACAAAAAAGGCATATTTAATTGAGCCCAGAGCATAGATTTTGAATAGTTTGTAAGCAATTTTGGGATTTGTGATGTAAAGAATACATAACCTTTGAAGAATTAATCCT